GGGGGTGGTGCAGCTGCCCCCCCAGCCACAGAGATGCTCGGCACGGCCCCCTCCCAGGTCAGGCCTGCCTGCAGCCTCCCCCGCCACCCCCCCTTCCAGGTCTGCCAGATAGACTCACACATACCTGCCTGGATGGAAGGAGGGCTGCCAGGCCTGGAAAATGACTGATTGCGCCTGCCTGTCCACCCGCCTTCCCCACAGCAGCCCAGCACCAGGGAGGGGGAGCGCAGCCGTGCGTGGTTCTGAGACATGCACAATCGGCAGCTAGCGCAGTGCCTTGGGTAGGATGGCGGGAGCCGCCTCACCACTGCAAAGGGCGAAGTGGCTTCTGGGCAGGGAGGGGGGAGGATGCCCAGCCTCACAGGGATTCAGCTCTGTGCCTCTGCCCTGTGCCCCAAGGCTGGCAAGGCCCGAGGGGTCCCTGTACTTCCCGCCCCACCTGCTGCTGGTCTGCGAGGCAAGAGCCTCCCCACTGGGCACCACCCACAGAGGGTCTCCGCACACTCCCTGCTGCTTGTGCCGCAAGACACCAAGAAGAGCCCCCCGGAGGCGGACCAGGTGCCCAGGAAGCCACCCCACCATTTGTGCCACCGCCACCTCATCCACCAAGCTTTGCCATGCAGAGCTGAATGGGGCTGCGGACTTCGGCCCTCCCCAGGAAAGGCTACTGGGCACATCCATACAGCCTGGATAGCAAATGAAAGGAACCAGGGGGAGGGAATCCAAAGGCAGTGCCTCCCCCCCGCCCGCCATTCCCGAAGCAGGGGCATGGGGGGTCCTGCAACAGGGTGGACTGCATTTGACCGGCGGAGGTGGAGGGGGAGGAATTGTAAGGCAGAAGATGGAAGGCAGCTTCACATTTAAGTGTGTCACCCTGTTGGTCTGAAGCAGTGGTCGGGCACCTTGAAGACCAACCCAGTTTAGTATAAACTGCACGCGCATGAAGGCTTATACCCAGAAGGTGCCCCTGTTGCACTCGAACAAACTTCACATTCTCCACCTTCAGGGATGAACCCTATCTCCCCCCCTCCCCCAGAAATAAAAGGTATTTTTTTAAATGAAGGAAACTGTAGAACTGTGCACAGGGTAGGAAGAGATGGAAAGGAAGGGAGGGGAGAGATGAAAAAAAAGCAAATAGATGATGACAGAGAAGTGAAAGACAGAAGGGGAAGGAAAGAAAGAAAGGACCGCCCCACATGGCTGCCCAAGCCCCTGAAAATATCCCCCCACCCTCGCTGCCCCAGGCCAGCCAGCTCCTTCCCTTGCTTTCTCTGCCTGCGGGAAAACAGCAAACCGCTCCATGTGCAGCCCACCAGGCTGAACTGAGGGCTGCTGGGGGTGGGGCTTAGCTTCCAGAGGAAGCAAGCCCTCGCCCTGACTTCCCTCCCAGGCCCAATGCACCCCAAAGTCTCAGAAAACTGAGGGGAAAAACCCTCCGCTTTCAAAATGGGTGGGGGCAGCAAGGCTCTGGCTGGCACTGGGGAAAATTTCAGGAAGGGCGCAAACCCCCCAGCCCCCCCATAGTCTACGCCTATGCACCAAGTCACAACTGAGTTACGGAGACCCCAGCAAGGGGCTTTCAAGGCAAGCAAGAAACAAAAGTGGCTTGCCATTGCCTTCTTCTGTAGAGTAAGGCTTGGTCAGGTCCCCTGATATATATATATATTTAAATGAAATGTAACCATTGGAGGAGGGGTGCCAGTTTGATCACTTGACTGAAGCACTGGCACTGAGGAAACACCTTATTTTCTGAATAAAACTGATCCCAGGCTACTGTGAGCCCTCCCATGAGGCGGGAAAATTAGTAGATTCTCCCTCCCCCACAGGACAAACCACCCCTGAGTGGGAAGGAGATTTTAAACAGGAAAACATTGTAGAGAGAAAGGGTTAAAGATGCTTCCCCCCCACCCCCAGTACTGCCTCTGCTCTGATCAAATTCTCACACACACCTCACAGCTGCATTTCATTAAAAAAAGAAAATATGGGGTGGGGTTTTTTTTGAGCCAACAACAAATCTTCCACGTAACATCTAGTTTGACCGTCAGGATTGCCCACCTACCCCACGAGCACACACTGAAGTCCTTCCTCCATATATGAACGGCAGATGGCCTGCACTGCCCAGTGTTCACCACATTAGTATAAGATTACTTGAAAGCCACTGCTGCTTGCTTCTCAAACATTTTGCTACCTCTGTTTTATTTTTTTGTTGTTTACTTTTTACACACACACACACACACACACTGAGCCTGTTAGGCTGCGGCTAAATACCTCAGTTTCCACTCTATTAAATACGAGGGTAATTGTCGGAGATCAAGGGAGGAGAGTTTATGTAAGCATCTGGCCTCGTTTTAAGAGACCACGTTTTCCTTTTTAAACTTGAAAGCTGCAGTGATTCTATCCAGGTCCAGTTGTCTGGTCTTGGACAAGAGAAACGGATGGTCGAGTTACCCAGGTCGAGTTACCCAGGCCCAGGCTCTAAGGGCTCAGACAAGCCGGGCCGGATGGGTACAGCAGCCGGGTGGAGAACACTGCACCACTGAGATGTTTATCTATCCCAGTTCACCACAAAAGACCCATAACTGTTGGAAGCCCGCTAAGTTTGGCGTTACAGGGATTCTGTGCCAAAGCCTCCAATCAAGGGTTGCTGACCGTTCACAATTGAACAGACTGTTCATATTTCTGCAGCGATTACATTTTTATCCTACTATTTCTGCAAGGAGCTCAGGAAGGCATGCAAGGCTCTTTCCTCCTGAGGTAAAAGGTAAAGGTTTCCCTTGCTCGAAAGCTAGTCGAATCCGACTCTAGGGGGCGGTGCTCATCTCCGTTTCCAAGCCGAAGAGCCAGCGCTGTCGAAAGACGTTTCCGTGGTCATGTGGCTGGCATGACTAAATGCCGAGGCGCACACTACAGTGTTACCTTCCCACCAAAGCTGTACCTATTTATTTATTTGCAATATCTCGCTTTTGAACTGCTAGGTTGGCAGGAGCTGGGGCCAGAGACAGGAGCACACTCCGTCACGCGGCACTCGGGTCTCGAACTGCCGCACTACGAATATTCCAGTCTGCAGCTCAGCATCTTAACCTCTGAGCCTCCACCACTAATTTCATTCTCACAACCACCTTGTGAGGTAAGTTAGGCTGAGGAAACAATTGGTGTCAGGTCACCCATCCTAGGCTGACACTCTAACTGCTAACACCACACTGGCTCTCAGGCATGGCCATAGCCAGCAGCAGCGTTCTTATGGTCAGTCTGTTGCAACAGAACTGCGTATCATTTTGAACAACACTTATAGTTAGTACGGCCTTCAATGAGAAACAGTAAGTGGATACCATAAGCAGTTTCGAGGGGTGGGTAGGTGTACTGCATACATCTTGTTGAGTAAAACTGTTGAGCGAGCCAGGGCCTATAATCCCTTAACGGTGCAAAGGGGCATTCTTCCCGCAACTGAAAGGAATGGGGGCGGGGGGGGGGACACACAACCAAGTTTAGAATACACTTTTTGCAGGCTAATTACACTGCCGCCATCCCTCCCCAAAACTCTGGCCCTCTAAGCGTCTCCTTAACATAACACAGAGAATGACATCTTTGAGGGACAAAGGTCTCCTGGAGGCAGTAAAGAATTTTATAAAATTAGAGTTCATAGGAAGATAACACCTCATGCTATTGTTTGCCACATCCATTTGAGACCCTGAAATTGCTGTGTGCGATAACCAAGGGGCTATCATAACCACAAGATCAACAACCTCTTTTCCAAGTCTGTAACTTATAATTAGAACCATGTGACTAGATTGCAAGGATAGTGCGGTAAACCCTCTGCTATATCCTAAGAGAATGTGCTGGCTGCAATTCAGCTAGATTCAGGCCTCTCCTTGGCTGGCTATAGGAGAAGAGATAGCCCTGCCGATCAATCATATCCAGGAATTTGCATACAGGGCCAAAAGATGCATACAAGTCTTCTAGTCAAACTGGCCAATGGAAAGTACTCATGCAACCATATTCATCACACCGGTATCGACTGCCAGGAGCCTGGGTGTGTTCCTGGATGCCTCCTTATTGATGGAGGCCCAGGCCAAAAATGTTGTTAGACTGGCATTTCTCCAGCTGTGCCAGATCAGGCAACTGGCCCCCTACCTGTCTCACCCTGACCTAGCCACAGTAATCCACACAATGGTCCCCTCCAGGTTAGACTACTGTAACTCACTCTACGCAGGGCGACCCTTGAAACTGACCCAGAAAGTACAACTAGTCCAGAATGCACTGGACCTCGCCAGATCCCTAATTAACAACACAAATCCAACTGGCTCCAAGTTGAATACCAGATCACATTCAAGGTCTTGGTATTAACCTTTAAGGCCGTAAACGGTCTGGGACCAATATATCTACGGGACTGCCTCTCCTCGTATACCCCTCAAAAAGCATTACGCTCCGGAGAGAAGAACCTCCTGGTGATCCCTGGCCTGAAGGATATCCGGTTGTTTTCAGACACTGGCCTGGTGGAACCTTCTGCCTAATGACATCCATGCCCTGTGGGACTTAGTGCAGTTCTGCAGGGCTTGTAAAACAGAGATGTTCCACCCAGCCTATGGTTGAGGACTGCAATGGTTGAACACTGAGCCTGGTTTCCTTTATCTCCCCTCCCCTCCAAGGGGTAAGGACACAAATAGGTTAAATGCTGACTGAAACAGTTTGTTATTATTTTAAAAATTTAATCTGATTCTGTAAAATCATATTTATTGAAATGTTATAATGTATTGTTGAAATGCTGTTAACCACCCTGAGCCCTGCCTAAAGGAGGGCAGCCTAGAAATGGAATAAATAAAAGATAGACAGACAGTTTTGCCCAAGGTGTGGCTTGTGACAATACTGGGAGCACAGGAGAGGAAGACCAAAATGAACAACACAGACTTTTGGTAATTTTGATGTAGGTATACAGTAGGTACATATTGCTTCTATCCATCAGTCTGGAATGAACACTTAATAATCTCTGGCTTCCCCATTACCTGCCAAGAACCTCAGCTGATTCTTCACTCTTAACCCGCCGTTTCCAGAACTGTCCCCACCACAATCATCCTCGTCGTCGCAATCACCACTTTCTTCCTCATCCTCGTCTTCTGGCTTGTCCAGACTTTTCCGGCGAGAGATGGCCATTCCTTTTAACAACTGGAAAGAACACAAAAGAGGTTAAGCAAAACCACCCCTGGAATGTCAACAAAAGGACTTGATCCACACATGCAGCAGAATGAAGTGGTATAGTCCTAGGGTGGTAGAATAGATTGTCTCAGTTCAGAGAGCAGGTGTGAGCTAAGCTCCTCCTTCATAAGGTAACTTTCCATTAAGCAGAAAGCTAGCATCTCAGGCCCAAAGAGGCACTAACCCATCCTGCTCCTAGCTATGCAACATATTCTTCTTGCACAGAGTGGTCTTGGGGGGGGGGAGAGTACTCAGAAGTGTCACCTTTTACTGAATGGTTTCTTCTATTCCGCCACTTCAAGGTAACAGCCACCTCATTCTGCTCCGTAGCTATCTTGGGCAGCAAACAGCAGAAGAATGAGCAGAACAATTACAAAATCTGTGTCCCACTCAGGGGTCATTTCCTGCAGGAGCGCACAGGAGCGAAGCTCCGGCAGTAAAGAGCCCAGGGGGCGGGCACATGCAACAAGCCCCACCTCCTGCTCCCAGCAGCCCTTAGTCAGAGCAAGAAGCAGCCAGGTAAGTTGCAGAGGCCCCCCAGTCCAAAACAGTCCAGTGGCACCTTTAAGATCAAGTTTTATTCAGGTACAAGCTCTCCCTCCTCTGCGAGGATAGATCTGCACATTCCCCCCCTCCCCCAATAGCTAGCAATCCAAAACAGTCCAGTGGAGCCTGAGCGGTGGGTGTTGCCTTCTGACACACTTCCGGTGATGTCAGGGGGTGTGGCATATGCAAATACGTTATGGTAATGAGTTATGCTAATGAGCTCCTGCACCTCTTTTTCTACAAAATGACCCCTGGTCCCACTTATCAAATTTTGTGTATTTCTTGAACACCTGCTGTTTCACTATGTTGTCACCGACTCCCTGAAGTTTTTGCAGTGGGCACAGTAAAATATTACCCACATCATGACACAGCAACAACTGCTGCTGCCACATTCCCTGACTCAGTTCAATTTTGTTCAGACTTACATTTCAGGGTTACTTCATTGCCTGTAACCATTAGAGATGGTGATATTTCTTCCTTATCGGTGCTTCTGACTGCTGACCAGTTGTGATGAATAGGTTGCCTGACTCACCACAACCACAGTCAGTGTTGCATAATGGCTAGCAGAAAAGAGCAAAAGTCCAAAGCACCTCAGAGACCAACAAAATATGTGTCAGGGTATGAGCTTTTGTGATGTGTCAGGGTATGAGCTTTTGTGAGTCACTGCTCACTTCTTCAGACACCCGATCTTTATCTAACACTAGGACAAAGGCCCCTTGCAGACAGGAATGCAACGGGGCTAGGAACCATTCCTGCGTGAGCGTGGGGCGCAGCAGCAGTGAGGCCCCCGGCACCCCCTGGCTTGCCCGCCTGGGGGTGTGGGCCAGGAGGGGGCAGCGTGAGGGCAGGAGAACCGACGGGGAGGGCTTTCAAGGGCTACCCTGCTGCCTCCTGGCTGGCCTGGCTCGGCGGGTGGGCCAGGAGGGGTCCTGGGAGCCTCCACCTTCCCAGTGGAGCAGCATCCCATCACTCCCGAGGCACCGGGAGTCGGGCAGCAGGACGGCCAGCAGCAGGAGAGGAGCCGCGGTGACTGCTGGAGGAAGAGCGCTCATGCAGCGTGGGGCCGGGTGAAAGCGATGAGCCGGCCAGCCCCCGCTTCCCCCTCACCATGTGACTGCAGATGGCGTTGTGGCAAAAGTGGCCGGCAGCGCCGGGACCCAGAGTTTGAAGGCGACAGGCTCCTCGGTACCTCTCACCCACTGCAGCCTCGTCCGTCTCTCCACTGCCCGCTTGCCGTGCAGGCCAAGGCGGCGAGGCTCATTCCGTCAGTCAATGGCACGCCAGTTGCTCCGAGCGGCAGCTGACGGGCCAATGGCTGAGGGAGCGCATTTTTTCTCGCCACCTCATAGGACGGTGGCCACCCCAAATCACAATTATTATAAGGAGAGATAATGGCTAGAATGTTAAACTGGGATCAGGGAGACCCGGGTCCAAATCCAACTCTGTTGTAAACATCTAACCTACCTCACAGGGTTGTTGTGAGGATACAATGGAGATGTCAGTACCCCAGACTGTGCTGCAGGAAAGGGAAGGTTAAAAACACAGCTGAACATTTAACAATACGTGGTACAGGTAAAACTGTGTCAAAGTGGGCAGCAGTTTGCTTGAATTTTTAATTTCTGCTTGTACTAAATAAGCCAGAGGACCCATAACTTTGAACAAGACCAGAATTACCTCCATGGACAGGAAAATAGCTTACTGGGGAGGGGTCTTGTGCATTAGCCCCATGGGCTGTTGCCTTTGAACCTTGATGAAGGTGGGGGCAAGTGCCAATTGTGCAAACGAAGGGCATAATACAGGGTGAAAAATACCCCCCACATCTACTGCCAGTCTTTGGAACTTTGGAAGCTTTGGAATTTTAAAAACTCTTCCTGTCCTTTTTAAAGGATAAAATACCAGAGAACAGATATTGTAGAAATGCATATCAAGTAGAGGACTTATTGCATATCCAGGGATTTAGCCAGTTTCATCTATTTCTGCAATATCTGTACCTCTGAGCACATTCCAAATATTTTTTAAAAGATACCTTTAACTTTGAAACGCATTCCCCCAAATTTTTGGCATTCTGTGGTTTATGCAACCTTGGAGCTGCATTCGTGACATCTGACCTCCCCTGTCCACAGTAATATAAACATTTTTGCTAGTGTTTGTATTAGAAGAATAAGAAGCCGATGGCTTGACTTCAGCTCTCTCCAACTGCTGTGAATCATCCCTGGTTTAAAACAAAAAAAATACAGAAAGTAACAAACTTGTTTACTCTAGAAGTTAGGGGGGGGGAAAACGATTTAGCACATTGCTGGATAATCCAAGATGAACTGTCCGGCTTTCTCTTCCCGGATTGGTGAGAATTCTCTGGACACTGTCCAGGGTCAACTGCCTTCTCAGGAAGCATCTTTAGAATGTTATGTTTTCGGTGAAAATGTGATGATTCTTCTACAGAGAAGGAGTGGAAAGTAACAGCAAGAAACATAGGCATCAGTAAGCAGCGGCACCCCTGAATACTCAAACTCATGACCATTCGAGCCACTCTTCTAGGGCATCCAGAACAGGCAGAAAACATCTTCTGGGACTTAAGAGCTATATGCAGACGAAAAAGTTCAAAACCCATGTTCTTCCTGATGAGCACGAAGCAGGTTAAATTTGGGATTCAGAGATTTCTTGTAGCAACCTTTGCTAACTGCACCAAGATTTCTTGTAGCAACCTTTGCTAACTGAGGTCAGTGTGGTATAGTTGTCAGAGTGGGATCTTGGAGACCCTGGTCCAAATCCCCACTCTGCCATGGAAGTCTAATGGGTGACTTTGGGACAGTCATTCTCAGCCTAACCCATCTGACCGGGTCATGTGATGATGAAACGGAGGAGGAGAGAACGATATGAGTTGCTTTGGATCCCCATTGGGGAGAAAAGTGGGGTACACAGATAAGTATCTAAACAGATAACTGTCCTGCAACAACAGTTCTTTACTTGAATTAAATTGCACTTAGGAACTCTAACTTTCTAAAAAGGAAATGAGCCACAGTTTGTTCGGATGTCTGCACTGGGATCACATGACTGATCATAGTTTCTTGAAGACTTCCAACTTTAATAGGAGAGACCTATTTATTATTTATTTATTTTATTTCATGTATACCCCGCCCTCCCCGCACGCGGGCTCAGGGCGGCTTACACAGGCACAAAAGTGCGGTAAAAATACAAGTTAAAACAATTAAGGCACAAGTGCAGTAAAAGTCAACGGTTAAAACAGTTTAGGCAGAAATGCACATCTCACAGGATACATAAATGACTACAATACTTACTCCCTATTGCATATCCCAGTGGGGTCAAAAAAGGGGGGGGGATGCCATGGGCCATGATGTTTCAGCTGGCCAGTCAGCCCGACACGGCGGAACTGCTCTGCAGTCGCACGATGGTGGCAGTGGCGGCGGCTCCTTCTCAAAAGCCTGGCAGAAGAGCTCCATCTTGCAGGCCCTGCGGAACTGTACCAGGCCCTGCGGAACTGTACCGGGGTCACTAGACGGTGTTGTGACCCCGACCGAAGTGCTCTTTGGGGCCTGTGTGGGGAAAGGTGGTCCCTCAGGTATGCCGGACCCTGGCCATGTAGGGCTTTAAAGGTAAGCACCAGCACTTTGAAGCGAATCCGGAATGCTATAGGCAGCCAGTGCAATGCTTTCAGCACAGGTTGGATGTGGTCCCATCTAGAGGACCCGCTACCAACCTGGCCGCCGCATTCTGCACCAGCTGCAGCCACCGAATTTGCAACAAAGGCAGCCCCATGTAGAGAGCGCTACAGTAGTCTAACCTCAAGGTGACCGTAGCATGGATCACTGTGGCCAGATCGCCGCGGCTAAGGAAGGGGACCAACTGCCGCACCAGCTGTAGATGATAAAAGGCTGCTTTGGCAGCGGCCGCCACCTGGGCCTCCATCATTAAGGTCACCATCAGTTATAAAGTCCATGGAAATAATGGAAATAATGTCCCAGGTCAGCTTGAGCCACCCAGCCACAGCCTGTAAAGCCCGGTGAAGATCTTCAGGGTTGGAGTCCGACTGGCCGCCCAACATCAGATAGAGCTGGGTGTCATCGGCATATTGATGACACCCAAGCCCATACCTCCAGACAATCTGGGCGAGGGGGCGCATGTATATGTTAAATAGCATCGGGGAGAGTACTGCCCCCTGGGGCACTCCACATTCAAGCAGGTGCCTCCGGGACTGCTGCTGCCCTAGTCCAACCCTCTGTTCCCAACCTTGGAGAAAAGAGACAAGGCATTGAAGGGCGAGCCCCTGAATCCCCGCGTCGGCAAGGCGGTGGGCCAGCAGCTGGTGGTCGACCATATCAAATGCAGCCGACAGATCTAACAACAGCACCGCCACACCGCCTCAATCCAGATGTCTACGGAGGTCATCAGTAAGGGCAACCAGCACT